GAGTGACCCTTGACGACCATTCTCAATGTTTGTCGCCCGAGATTAAATCCTACGTACACATATAAGTAAAATCTTTAGTAGATACGCAATTTTATTTCGGTATGGCTACAGTGGTTGCTATGGAAACGGCCGCCATCTTGAAATAAACAATGAATTTCAAATCCCTAAAGATTTCTTATTTACGGACCACAATTTGGAAACAGTATACCTGTATACCTTTTCTGTGTAACAGCAAGTTTTTTTCAATAAGTGCTAAAGAAACGCGGTAAAACCTCTTAAAAAAACCCAAAAAAACCCAAAAAACCATTAGAGAGACGGACAAGACATACACGTCCAACTCACCAGCCGTCTGCATACGTCGCCGTACAATGTCCAGTGGGTACGAGGCCGACTGCCCCACCATGCCCGCGACAGCGCCGAAGCACATACGCTCCAGGGGGTTCGGATCCCGACCCGAGTGGGTCTCTGAGGGGGAGGGGGAGGGAGAGAGAGAGAGAGATTTGTGTGGGTGAAGAGAGGGAGAGAGAGGGGGGAGAGGGAGGTAGAGAGGGATAGAGGGAGAGACAAAGAGAGAGAGAAGAGAGAGAGATTTGTTTATCTATAAGCTATCAAGCTATCAAAACAAGCAAAGATAAAACTGTAAAATTGTATCTATTACATCATATGTTATTATATGTTATCTTATCTTATCTAATCTTATCTAATCTAATCTAATCTTAACTTATCTGATCTTACCGGCGTGAACTTTCTTCAATGACTCGTATGTGAAGAAACTGAACCCTGAGTACGGGATGGAGCCGAGGATTGTGGGAGTGAAGCCTCGGTAGATGGATCGGAACCCTTCCTCTCGTATCATGCGCATGAACACTTCGCCGATGTGGTTGTAGCTGGAGACAGAGAGACAGAGAGAGGAGGGGGGGGGGGGGACACTAAGAACTTAGTAACAACCAGTATAAAATTATCTTTTTAGTTTAGTTTTAGCAGTAGAGGTTTTACGGCACTCGCAACTGCATAAGGTCATACGAGCGGCAAGGGGTGGGTGAATAAAGGTTTTACGGCACTCGCAACTGCATAAGGTCATACGAGCGGCAAGGGGTGGGTGTCTACAGAGAAGTCTTTACAGGGAATCAGACTCACTCTGCTCACCTCTCTAGCTTCAACAGCACAATGAATAGAGGGTCACAAGAGAGTGACAAACATACAAAAGAAGTAGAGGAAAAATGACGATAGTAAGGATTAGGAAAGAAAAAGCAGCAGTTCCCTGTTGTAGTTCAGGCACAGTTATGAGCATGACATTGTTAGATCAGCCCATTTACAATTCTACTGTGCACTAGAACGAGAAATGTCCCCCCTTTGGGAATGGCCTAAAGACACTTCAGTCAGTTGCACTGCCTTGGGGGGTTAAAATTATCTATTTGCCAACAAGGTCGTTTTGAGAAAATCAAAGGTAAAGTTTTTGGACCCTTGTTCAGTTTCTGTAAAAGACAAGGAGAGTTTTCTCTATAACCAAACAAATATACACACCAATGACACCAAACTTCTCCTATAGGTGGGGCAATGAGCCAATGCCCACTTTTGGTAAAGGTCAAGATTTCTGGAAACCCCCAAAATCTGGGTTAGCCCACTTGCCCTTAAAACCGACCAAATACCCCAAGCAACACTTTAAACTTAAACTGTATGGCTATACAAGAGGCAAGACCTCCAAATTTCACACCCATCTCCAACAGGATCGAGCTAAATGGGGAAAATTCATGTGTCAAATGGCTTTCATAAGCACAGAAAGTTGGATCTATCAGAGGCTTGAACCCCTGAACCCTCTCTCCCACAATCCCGAGCCTGGTAACCTAACCACTATACTGCCGACGTCACCTGTTGAATCATGAATAACAAAACGGCAGCATAAAAATTCTGTCGGTGGAATCATGAATGACAAAACGGCAGCATAAAAAAAATTTCAGTCGCTTGAATGATGCAGCAATAGATATAACCTGGAAGTAAAAGTAACTGTTGAGACATTTAGGAACAATATAAAATGTCAGCATCAAATACCGTAGGAGTCAGATGTTAAAAAGGTATTATTAATCCGCATACAGGAAAAAGAGGCTAAAACAGCACCTGGACATGGATGGCTGGTGCCTCTATAAATAAATAATTGATGGTCAGGTCAGGTCAGGAGTCAGATGTGGTGACACTTCTCTTACTCAACTCACGGCGTCTCTGTTCATCACTAGAACTAGCAGGATGGTGGTCTTTTTTTGTTCGTTTTTTTTTAAAAATTAAAGGTATGGCTTTTTAGTTTTAGTAGAGATTTTTGCGGCGCTCGCAACTGCATAAGGTCATATGAGCGCCAGAAGATTAGAGGTGTTACAAGAGAGTAACATACATAAAAAAGAAGAAGGGGAGATAAGGACGATAGATGTGTGACAGGAAAGAAGGAGCAAACCACATAAGAGCACCCGCCAACCTCAGGTATGGCTTGTTCCACTTGATTCATGACAAATGTGTAAATTTAAATGTTGAAATTAAACAAATGTGAGGCGTGCTGACAAAATGCGTTACTTCTCACAATCCGTGAAAGGAGATATCTGCCAAAAATCGACACTTGGGTCAAATTTCTAGATTTTCTATTTATACAACATTCATAAAGTATTAAATGCCTTTTATTATTTCATACTAACAACTTGTAAAAACTTAACCTATTAGCATGATGTATCTATTTCCATAGGGCTCAGATTCGAGAAGCAACTCATTTTGTCAGCAAACTTTACAACTGTTGAAAGATGAACAATAAAATGTGGACATAAAATATGTGTCACGACATGATGGAATCAGGCGCTCATCAATTTTTGGGGATATGGAGTTACTGGTATAATCTTACAGCCATATTTATTTGTCTTGCATTTGATGAAAAAAAATACCCATCTCTTTTAAATAGAAGTTGAGGTACTTGGGGGTGAAGGACGTGGGGGGTCATCTGGTGTCAGAGGTAGAAATGAGCAAAACTATAGTCAGCACAGTTTGCCAATTTCCAAAGCTTGAGCGTCCTTAGAAACTAAAAATTTACATTTTATTTGTGCCTTTGAATAATATTTTCCAGTAAAATCCATACAGGAAATTCCTGAGGAATGTATTTTTCAATGGACATAAAAAGTGTTCAGCCACCCCCCTCCCAAAAAGAAAAAAAGAAAAAGAAAACGAAACAAACAAAAAATTGCCCAACGAGCGGAAAAACAGAAGTTTCTTCAATTTGGCTATTTTGATGAGCAGCTGATTTCACCATAATGATATATGAATATGTGCCGCGGGTCTACTCACAATGCCTTTGGGGTGACCGCCATGCGGGCTCGGCACAGGTCCAGGGGGTAGGTGAAGGCCACGGAGGTCACACCGGCCAGCGACCCCGCCAGGAACCGCAGGTGTGGAGGTAAATGTCTGAAGAGAACAGGGAGAAACGTTTTTTTAATTATTATTTTTTTATATAGTAGAGGGTTTTACGGCGCTCGCAACTGCACAAGGTCATATGAGCGCCAAGGGGTGGGTGTCAACAGAGAAATCTTTACAGGGAATCAGGACTTATTCTGCTCACCTCTATAGCTTCAACAGCACAAGGTCTGCTTCGACTATCAAGGCACCCCGGAAATAGCAGGTCACAAGAGAGTGACAAACATACAAAAGAAGTAGAGGAAAATGACAATAGTAAGGACCAGGAAAGAAAAAGCAGTAGTTCCCTGTTGTAGATCAGGCACAGTTATGAGCGTGACATGAGTCAGCCTATTTATAATTCTACTATGCTTGAACGAGAAATGTCCCCCCTTTGGGAATGGCCTAAGGACACTACAATCAGTGGCACTGTCCCGGGAGAAACGTCTCGCATAAATTGTCTAGCACAGGCGGACAATCTGTCAGCATAAAACCTTTTGTTACAGTAAGAATTTTATGGAACTTGCACCATTGCAGACACTGTGACTACCACGAGGAGACCGTTGAACATCTTTTCCTTCACTGCCCAAACCTGGCAGTTCTTCGACGCAAGCTCCTACACACACCTACAGACTTACAAAGCCTGCTCTACTCTGGCGTTGACCAGATGACAAGGACATGTGGTTACTTGAAGGAGGCATTGCGCTGCCTGCAAGAGCGAAATGCTCGCAGCTAAAGGATTTGAAAACAACAACAACAACAACAACAACAACATGGAACTTGCAACACAATTAGGTTCCATAAGTCCAAAGATTAAAAGTGTTACAAGAGAATAACAAATAAGAGTAATAAACACAAAAAAGGAAGAGGAGAGAAAAGGATGCCAGATAATGTTTGATAGGAAAGAAGGAGCCAAGCAAACCACACCAGAGCACCCCTCAACCACCCACCAGCATAAAATGTTTTGTTTTCATTTTAGTGAGAATTTTCGCACTTACAGAACCTAATTTTGTTGCAAGTGGCGTAAAAAAATTTTTTTTTTTTTTTAAATAAAAATTTTTTTTAACGGCCCTTGCAATAAAATGAGATTCTGTAAGTGCGAAGATTAAAGGTGTTCCTAGAGAGTAACCTACGAACAGAAGGCAGGAAAAGGATGACCAAAGTTTTTTTAGTTAAGAAAGAGTTGTGCAATACAATTAGGTCATATAAATACCGAGATTAGAGGTTTTCCAAGAGAGTAACTTATCCCATACAAAGAAAAGAGGGAGGAAAGATAAAGAGGATAGATGTTTGATAGGAAGAAAGGAGTAAGTAAACCACACCAGAGCACATGCCAACCACTCACCCATGCATAAATACAATTACAATTCATATATATTTATGCATAAATATATATGAATTGTAATTGTAATTGGACTAAGATCCAAAATTTGTGAGTGAGGGCATTATTTAACGAAGGAAAAAAACACCAAAAAACACACACACACACACAAAAGTAAAAGTAAAAGAAATCCAAATAAAAAAATAATTAAGAAATAAAAAATAGGAAAACAAAAACCAAAAAAGCGACATCAAGAAAAAAACAATAACAATAAAAAAACAACCCCCCAAATAAACAAACAAACCCAAAACACAAAAACAAACTAAAAAATGACAAACTAAAAACCCAAACTAACTAGATTTAGGAAACAAAATGAAAAAGAATGAAAAAAAAAAAATGCTACCCATTACGTTGCCGCCGTGCTGGTACTCACTTCTTGTTGCGAAAGTTGAGCATCAGCTTGTACTGCTCGTGCGCCGCGTACTGTATGGCCGCGTAGGGCACGATGCGCACCAAGGTCGCCGAGTTGCCGCGCCACAGCGACAGCACGCCCGAGTTGCGCACCGTGTCGTACAGGAAGCGCGCCGCCTCCCGGGCCGAGAACGGTTTGTTCGCGACTAGGAACGGGGGATGAGAAGATTGAGAAAGATGTCTCGTTCGTAAGTGGTGTTGGGGTTTGTGTGTTTGAGAGAATTGAGGGAGGGAAAGGGAG